CACGTGCATATGTTGGAAGTGTGGGAAGGAGACAAAAAGTATGTATGTGTCCGTAAGTACATATTTCGGGGTTTATCGGTATAATAATCGATACTTTGTCGGTTTTATTACCGATGTTTTTATCGATTTTCCTATCGAAGTTTTTATCGATAATGTTATTGATTTTGCTATCGATATTTTCGGAACTTATCGATATAATGATCGGTATTTTTTCGATTTTGTTATCGATATTTTTTCTCGATTTTGTTATAGATATTTTGTTGACTTTGTTGTCGATTTTGTTATCGACACTGTAATCGATTTTATGATAGATTATTTATCGATTTTGTTATCGATATTTTTATCCATTTTGTTATCGATTTTATTACCGATATTTTTATAGATTTTGTTGTCGGTATTTTAATCGATTTTGTAATCGATATTTTTACCGGTTTTGTCATCGATATTTTTTATTGATTTTGTTTACGATTTAGCTATCGATATTATTATTGCTTTCGTTATCGATATTTTCATCGAATTTGTTATCGATATTGTTATTGGTTTTGCTATCGATATTTTCGGAACTTACCGATATAATGATCGATACTTTTATCGATTTTGTTATCGATATTTTTTATCGATTTTGTTATCGATTGTGTAATCGATTTTGCTATCGATTTTGTCATCGATACTTTTATCGGTTTTGTTACCGATATTTTTATCGATTTTGCTATCGATATTGTTATAGATTTTTTATAGGTTTTATATTCGATATTTTTATTGATGTTGCTATCGATATTGGTATCGATATTTTTATGGATTTTGTTATGGATTTTGTTATCGACTTTATACTCGATTTTGTTATCGACTTTGTTATCGATTTTGTAATCGATATTTTGATAGATTTTGTAATCGATTTTGTAATCAGTATTGTTATCGATTTTGCTTTCGATATTTTTTCGATTTTGATATCAATATTTTCATCGATTTCTTTATCGATATTATTATCGCTTTTGTTATCGATATTTTTTGCTTAGTGTGTGCTTTTGTTTTTTTACTTGGATATGCTCTAAACCATACCACGTATTCTACGTTTAAATTTAGCGGCTGTATCTCCGATACAGCCTGCAGGCCAAGACGAAGGCGCTGGACTGTTCCTTTTTTTGCAATACCTAGTGCCTTTTCCTGCCTTTTTCGCTATTTTGTTCTGCCTTTTTTTTGCCTTTTTCGCTATTTTGTTCTGCCTTTTTCGCTATTTGATTTTGCCTTTTTTATAGGTTTTTAGGTCCTAAAAATCCGTTCCCTGCCAATTACAAAGCTCGAAATTTACCAGACGCCATACTGGATCCTCCATTTTGAGTTTTGCAATTCTGACAGCGGCTTCGAGTTTTGGCTGCACTTTTGGGTGCGACTTCGTATAAATCTGCTAAGCTAGCATGGTCTTTGATGGATTGCATGCTCTGCCATGTACTGAACAGCAGATTAGATTAAAATATTCTTAAGTCATATATACATTGTATATATATAGCTTGATGTCTGAAGCTCTCAGGTATTAGCAGAATAGAGTAGAGTTTCAGCAATTTCATGCTGCCTAACCCAAATAACTGCCATCTTTCAAATTGCCTTTAATGAATTTAGTATTTATAATTATGACTGAACAAAATTATTATTATAATTTGTTTTTGGTGCATACGTGCAAGTAACGTGGAGCAAAAAATCTTTGAAAATCGAAATTCTGTACCATCAATTCTATGCATATGTAAATTTCCAATACTTTAATGCAAATACAAATAATTATGCTTAA